CAGCCGGGCGTCGTCATCCCCTTCGCGGCCGTCCGTAGTGCCGCCGAGCTCCACCTCTCCGTGGCCAGAGCGCTCTGGTGCCTATCTCCTCCTCCCGAGTATGGTTCTGAGCTCTCCGTGGTATCGTGTTGCTTGTTAACCTATTCATTTTACCTCTACCGCACATAGCATGCTGGAACGACACCGCCGCGCCGTCGTGGCCGCCATGGCCGGCGTCAAGCTCGGACCTCACAGTAATTGCTCAAGCTACTGTCTCCAATCGGTGCGTTGTGTTGTAGGGAACGTGTTGGTACCGTCGCCGTGGCCGGAGACCTCACCGTCGGGGAGCTGTCGCCGTGGTCAGCGCATCATCGCCGTGGTCAGCGCAGAGGACGGGGATGACAGGTGTGGTCGGGCTGTCAGTGGAGCGGGTGTTTTGAAAATGATTTTTTCCTTTTTCAGAAATGAATGAATAGTGTCTATTTTTGTTATTTTTGTGTAGATTTATTTAGAGCTCCAAAAATTATGAAATTTTTTGTGTGGCCTCTCTATGATGTGTATTATTTAGGAAAAATATGAAATGTTGTTTTTTCAGTACCCTTTGGATGTGATAAAAATTGCTCAATTAATTAATAAATGAGTTTCCATGATTTTTCTAGGCTTATTTATTTATCCAAGAATTATAAAAATTGTTTTGCCACTTAGTTATCATGTGATGAACATTTACAAAAATTTTGAGGTCAATTGGAACAAGTTGATTTATTTCATAATTTTGAATTAAATAATTAATTCATAAAAGCAAATAGTAACCTTTAATGATTTAGGTTTTGATAGAATTTTTGATTGAGTGATGTCCTTGGGTCATTAGTTGGTAATGATCTTTGGCAATTGATGTATGTATTACGAAAAAAGTTTAGTTAGTTTGACTTGTAACTGTACCGCGAATGAAAGTTGTATTCAAGTTGTTAATTTTTGCATCCATCATCGAGCATCATGTTTTATATTTCGCATCATGTTAAACATGGCATTGTACTACGTGTAGTGAACGAAGATGAGCACGTGGTAGTTAATCAAGTGGTTGAGGAGGTTAATCCGTCTGTTGAGGTCGGGTTGGATAATTGTGGTGCGACTCCTGAACCGGACTTTTCAGTCAACGAAGGCAAGCCCTGGATGCATACAACCCTACCTTGTGTTTTACAAATTGATTTCGCTTTTGCTTTTCTTTACTGCATTAAGTGATTAGGAGTTAAGTGAAAACCTAATTGATGCATTACCAACCTTGTTTTCCATATCTACCTTGTTAACCGTTTTAATTCGTAGATGCCTAGTTATGCTTAGCTATGCTTAGAACGATGAAAGTCGGGTGATTACCTGTCACCTGCGAACTGTAAATAGAACTTTGGTTACTTATGTTATCATGTGATATGAGAATGTGGAGTAATAAATCTAGACCGGGCGGACTCGGTGTTGGGGAGCCACAAGACATGGAGGTCTTGTGAGCGGGTTCTTTCCGCCTGTGTCGATTGAGGCCCATAACGTTGTTGAACTATGCGAGCTGAGACTTTGTAGTACTAATCGCATACTCTGGTAAGCCTTAACTTGGCTATTATATTACGAGAATGGCTACTCACGCACTAGGAGTGGAGAGATGGCGGGAATAGCGTGTACCCACGTGGCAATGGGCTGGATTGGTGGAATACTATATTCTCGGGTGGCGCAGACCTGTTCTTGTTTTAGAGGATCCGAGGGTAGGTTGATATATGTAGGTCGAGGACCTACATATGTCGTGTGGTCTGGAATCCCCAGCTGGGTTTAATCGGTTCGAATCGTCGTTGCTCCTCGGTTATGGAGACTCAACTCACTGTTCATCATCGTAGTGTTAATAACTGGAACTCGAATAAGGTTTGTGAAGGAGTTGGATATGAAGTTTCATGATCTCAATGCAAATCGTGTCAGCTTTGTATATAATCTTATGAAGTTTTTAATGTTGACATAAAGAATTTTGTAAAGAGCTTTTACGCAAAAGAACTTTGATTATTGCTAAAGCCATACCTTGAATCCCTGAGTCTGCATTCTTAAGTTCTATTAGTTTTTATTTTTGGTTAAGTCTTGTTGAGTACTTTTGTACTCAGGGTTTGTTGACCCTTGTTGCAGGTGAGGCTCATGAGCAGATCTATTTTGAATCATGCTGCATGACTGTTGTTCAGTGCGATGACGATAAGTAAATGCGTGGCACTTGGGCAGGGCAATCCTTTTGTGTGTTCTGTATTATGTTATAATGCCACTCCACTACTACGTTTTGTAATATTAACCAAACTTAGTTGTAAGGTTTGAAACTACTGTTTTGTAAACTAAGTTATTGTAAGACTTTCGCTGATTTACTCTGGTGTAGATATTTGAATAAATGTTGTAATACTGCAATGACTCTGTAATGTGATCCTGCTCAGAAATCGTGGATGATTCGAGGTTCTCCGAGGACACCCGACAGTCTTGTTAAGTTACCGGGAACATATGCATTGGTGTCAAAGGTCGTTGGACAGTGACAGGTGCATGTGGGCCCGATAATTTAGGAGGTTCTGCCACAATTCTTGACAAGAGCATGTGGCCCAAAGCTACTTATGGCTTTTTCATGCACCCTCCCTGTCTTAGATCCACAGGAGGTAGAAGGAAGAATTGGATGAAATCATCACTTGAGGGAGGCAGCAGCAAAAAGAGGGCAAAGAAACATGAGTGCCCCATCTGCTATGAGTTAGGGCATCACTGGTACACTTGTAAGAATGGGAATCTAGAAGATATAGCTACAATGGAGGCTGAAAGGTAAACTATGTAACTAAATTACTTTGCAGATACATGTACAACTTCAATAACTTAGTTAACTAATGTAACTTTTCCTATGTAGGGGTCTTTCAAAGAAAAGGTTGAAAAAGCAGTAAGCTGTAACACAGAGACTAGCATTGTAGTTGCTACTCCATCCCAGATGGTGTTCCCACACAATGAGGCTGTAGTCAATACTACACACAAGAAAAGGAAGAGGAAATCTTCTTCTTCTTCTTCTGGTGCCAAGAAGAGCAAGGGGGCAGCTACCACTACTACTTGAAGCTTAGGTCCAAATAGTGTGTCTAACAGGTATGTTTATCAGCTCTTCAATTGATCACAACACTTCTATTATGACTGCTAATGCTAATGCACACTCTGCCTTTTTGTCATAAGGTCTGGAACTAGTTTCAATGACCTAGTTCCAATCCAAACTGTGTACCTAGCCCCTTTCCATGAAGACTCCATTACAATAGAGACAGAGCCACTAGAGACTGTGCTGTCCCAAGCTTCACCAAGGAGGAAGATAGGGATCAAGAAGAAGCTTACACCAAAGAAGCTCCAAGTTGCAGCAGCCAGCCCTGCTTCAAATACCAGAAGCAAAAAGCTCCAGCTACAGTGACAGGTGCCTGCTCAATGTTCTTTTGGTGATGTGGTTCTAGAAAACACCTGCTATGTGATGGTATGACTATTCTTTTGCTCTGTGATGGCATGACAATACTTAGCTGTAGATGAAAACCAGTAACTGTTGGTGACATGTTGGTGCCATGAAACCTTTATGATGAAAAATAGTAAGGTAACTGTTGTTATGTGATGAACACCAGATATGTGATGAATGTTAGTTTACTGTTGCAGTACTCTAATTATTGTTATATTGTTCTCATATGTTGTTGCATTCTGGACAAATGAACAATTTTCATATTCATCATTCAACATTGATTCATCCATCCATCCATCCATCTATCCATCCATCCATTCATCCATGACTACTCACACACACATAGGCATCTACTTCTTCAAAAATAGCATACAAAGTAAGAAATATGCAAATATAGACCATCTTCTCAATCCACCTAAGTTGCTGTAGAACCCTGTTGTCAATCCTATTCTCCACTTGTGCAACTCCAGCAGCCTGGGAACCTTCCTGGATGATGGCTAGAGGAGTTACAGTAGGGAAACCACCAGGTGGTGCCACTGCCTGCAGGGGAACTGCCTGTAGTGGAGTAGGGGCGTAGGTGTCTGCACTTAAGTGTCCTCCATTTCATCCTCCCACTGATAAGGCTCGTTCAGCTGGTTGAAAAACCAGCTAGATTTCACTGTGCGCGGATGAAAACATTGTTCACTCTCTCACAAATTCCTCCAGATTTCTCCAAATTCCTCCCAGGGAACAGGGCCATAATACTGATAGCCTCCGATCTAAAATCCAAAGCATCAACACATTGTCACCAAACAACAAAAAAGAAATAGACAGGAAAAAATGAGCAGAGAATGAAACACAAACTGCAAAATAGGGGCACTTGTGAAAGGCACGGTTATTGTTCTTCCTGGTCATCGAGATGAACCAATTGGCAAGCATATGACAGTTGGGATAAATCATCCGTTTGACCCTACCACCATAGCTGTTAGAAGCCTGAGACATGGTTGTGGCAGGAGAGAGGTGAAGGAGATAGAGCTCAAGTTGGATGAGTGGCAACAGATAGGGCTGAGGACCTACATATAGGAGGAGAGGCACAGAGGCTCAGTTGACGCCAATAACCCTAGCTTTGGCGCCAACACCACAGCCTTTGGCGCCAAAACGCATGGCCAGGGGCTAGCCTAGGAATAGACAAAAGCAAACCAACTAGTTCACAGAGCATTTCAAGTCTAAGGACATCTAAGTCATTTGGCTACGCTGTTACCCACCGTTAGAAGCAAAACTAGACAGAATGACGTGTTAGACAAAAAAAAAGTTTAGCGTCGTAATACCAGAGTCCGTGTAAACTTTCCAGTGACATATATTATAGTGCTATCTTTCGTAATGGCGGAGGAAAAGGCTCCATAAATACAGCCATACAGGGCTACAGGCATACAGTCGATCCCAAACCGGTCCCTGTAGGCTGCAACTCTTCTTTTCCCCACATCTCACCCCGCCGACGCAGGCGAAATCGATCTGCTCGGTCTCGCGACCACTGCCGCGCGCGCGTTGGGAGGACGGAGTGGGAGGCGAGATGGATGTGAGGTTCCCGCACTCGCCGGCCGAGGTGGCCAAGGTGGAGCTCGTGCAGTTTGGCGTCCTCAGCCCCGACGAGATTGTAATGCCTCTCGTCCGCTCGCCCCCTCTCTGCTTGAATTTGCTCTTCGAATTCGAGCGGGCTGGGTGGTTTTGGGGATTGGAGGCTGATGAGTGAGATTTTTAGCTTGAGAGGTCGTACGCTTGACATGGATTTGACCACAAAGGAGTACGCTGACGCTGCTGATGTAAATTTGTGAGTGTTTTGAGTGGGTTGTCCTTACCGATGCTTGGTTAGTTGAGTTGGCTCTTTGTTCAATTTAGAGAACCTATAATGCGCACAACTTAACGAGCTCTATGTACTCTAAAAATTTAAGCAAATTGGGGAGACATATTACTGTTGCGAGTTTGAACTGGTACTCTGTTCTACAAGAGTTTGAACTGGTACTCTGCTACAAAATGAAAATAGCACTTTACTCAATATTTCTTAACAATCTGAGAGAATAATGTACTGTCATGACTATTTACGGTAGAGTAACAATCTGAGAGACAATAATGTACTGTCATGACTATTTACGGGAGAGTAAACTTTATTCACAGGAGAGTAAACTTGGTTTTGTACCTTCCTGTTTGGGCAGCCATATGGGTATGGTTATGAGCTTACTGTCTAGAATGAGTTTGGACATGTTTAATTGCAACTGCAAGTTTGAACTGGAAAGCACACTCTAGTACAGCTGAAACTTAGCATTAATATTAAATGGTGGTTAAGTGGGCAGTCATGTTGTAAAACATTGTTTTCATTCATCTGCTTCTACTTGATGCAAATATAATGATTAATATGATGGGTTTGATAGTTTGCCATGTTGGGGTTTGTACTGCTTCATTAAAAGAAATGTCTGAACAACAAAACTTCAGGTCATGTAATTTAATGATGAATATTCTCTGTGCTGTGCAGAGACAAATGTCGGTGGCACAAATAGAATATGCAGAGACTATGGAGAATGGGAAGCCAAAGGCTGGTGGGCTTAGTGACCCTCGAATGGGGACTGTCGACCGCAAAATCAAGTGCCAGACATGCATGACTGGGATGGCAGAGTGCCCAGGCCACTTTGGTCACCTTGAGCTCGCCAAGCTGATGTTCCACATTGGCTTTATCAAGACTGTACTGTCCATTATGCGCTGTGTCTGCTTCAACTGCTCCAACTTCTAAGATCCTCGTGGATGAGGTACCCCTGGGTTTGGTTACTATGTAGAATGTTTGTGTGCACTTGCTTGTGTGCCTATCTGGCTATAGTGAAAGGAGTTCTGATTTTAAAATTTAAATCGAAGCATATTTAACATACATCATAGGAGCCCTCTGTATTCTGACAATTTGACCATTATATTAATGAATGAATTGTCCTTTGTACTGCATCAAGCTATGCTCATGGTTTGCTCTTGTACACAGGAGGCATGTTTAACAAAAACTTGTAAACATGCTCATGGTTTGCTCTTGTCCACAGGAGGCATGTTTAACATGTAAACATGGTATCGCACTACAAAAGCTTGTGTAAAATAAATTTGTTTGCATGTGCCGGGTGATTTTTCTGAAACCTAATGTAAGACTCATGAAGCTTAGAAACTCGTGCTGTAGTGTATATTTTGGGTGATATTACCACCCTAGCAAAAACATCTTTGTGTTCTGTATAAAACAATCAGAGTACTTAAACCTGACTATGAGCCAACTTTGGAGCTTTTCATAAAGTTCTGATTTAGCTGTTGTCACATGTTTAGCCACTATACTTTCTTATAATTTTTTCCAATTGTTATTTGACAATTCATCTTGCAGGATAATACCAAGTTCAAGCAGGCTCTTAAAATCAGGAACCCAAAGAAGAGATTGAAGAGAATATATGATGCTTGCAAAACCAAAAAGGTCTATGGTGAGGGTGATGACCTTAATGTCCAACAGCAGCAAGATACTGATGAGCATATAAAGAGAAGGGGTGGCTGTGGTGCTCAGCAGCCAATTATTACAATTGATGGTATCAAGATGCTTGTGGAATTCAAAGCACCAAACAAGAAAAATGATGATCGAGAGCAACTGTCTGAGTCAGTGGAACCGAAGCAGATTGTCTCCGCTGATAGGGTATCTATATGATCTATGTATGTTCATTTAGCAAGTTGTTCTAAGAAAGTTACTGTAACCATGCGGTTTGCTTACATGGCTTGTTTGTCCAGGTCCTTAACGTTCTCAAGCGTATATCTGATGAGGACTGTCTTCTGTTGGGCCTACATCCCAAATTGGCCCGTCCAGATTGGATGATACTCCAGGTTCTTCCAAATCCTCCACCCCCTGTTAGACCTTCTATCATGATGGGCACTTCTTCCAAAAGCGAGGTGAGCCTACTACTACTATTACATTTATTATGTTTGGACTTGTTTTCATGGATGGACTGCAATGCTCTATTTTTTCACGAACAAGCCCCATCATGGCCTTAAGAGAGAAAAGGACATGTTACAGAATGGTTAGCATGAAATAAGCCACAGACACCGATCGGTGATCCGGACCTGTCATGCAGACATACTGCAGAAAATTATACAACAAACAAATTTGCGACTAATAGCACTCTATTGTAGCTCACTGTTATTCTTCTTGGCTTTTCATCTATTTCTGCAGGATGATTTGACTCATCAATTAGCTATGATAATTCAGCATAATGAGAACTTGAGGAGGCAAGAGAGAAACGGAGCTCCAGCTCACATTATAGCAGAGTTTGCTCAGTTGTTGCAATTTCACGTTGCTACATACTTTAATAATGAACTTCCTGGCCAACCCTGGGTGAGTAGTCTAGAAAGATGTCTTGCATGTCACTTATAGATACAAGGCTAAGTTATCCTTTTCTGTTTTCTTTTAAATGCTCAGGCTACACAGCTTTCTGGAAGGCCGATTAAATCAATTTGCAGCAGGCTGAAAGCAAAGGAAGGCCGGGTTAGAGGAAACTTGATGGGGAAGCGAGTTGATTTCTCAGCCCGTATTGTTATCACACCAGACCCAAATATTAACACTGATGAATTGGGTGTGCCATGGAGTATTGCTTTGAATCTGACATATCCAGAAACTGTCACTCCATATAACATTGAGAGGTAAACTAGTTTACTGAAACGTGTTATGGAATTGTTCTTTTGTTAAGCTTACAACTAACTCCAATGATCTTAGGTTGAAGGAACTTGTACTAAATGGGCCTCATCCTCCCCTAGGGAAGACAGGTGCAAAGTACATTATCAGGGAAGATGGCTAGAGGCTTGATCTTCGTTATGTGAAGAAAAGCAGTGAACAACATTTGGAGCTTGGTTATAAGGTGAGTATTGTCTTCATTGTAATCGTAGTGCTAATGCTTTTTATAATCTCATCAGAGAATTTCTTTACTATTTTTGTTCCTCTGGTCTGTGGTTTCCTCAGGTGGAGAGACACCTCAATGATGGAGATTTTGTTCTTTTCAATCGTCAGTCAAGTCTTCACAAAATGTCTATCATGGGGCATCGAATCAAAATTATGCCCTACTCAACTTTCTGGTTGAATTTGTCTATCACATCACCTTATAACGCTGATTTTGATGGGGATGAAATGAATATGCATGTTCCACAGTCTTTTGACACTAGAGCAGAAGTTCTAGAATTAATGATGGTGCCAAAATGTATTGTGTCTCCACAACCAAATAAGCCTGTGATGGGTATTGTCCAAGACACGCTGCTTGGATGTCGCAAAATCACCAAAAGGGACACTCTCATTGAAAAGGTGAATACAGATAGACTTTACTTACCTTTTCCAATAGTGTTTCTCTGTTAAGGTTTGTAGCTCAATGTTGTGAAATTTATTCCAGGATGTATTTATGAACATATTGATGTGGTGGGAAGACTTTGATGGAAAGATTCCTGCTCCTGCCATTCTCAAACCAAGGCCTATTCGGACTGGGAAACAAGTTTTCAACTTAATTATCCCAAGGCAAATAAATTTAATTTGGTTTTGTTCCTGGCATTCTGACGAAGAGAAAGGATTTGCTACTCCCAGTGATAGGTCAGGATAGAAAAAGGAGAGCTTCTATCTGGCACACTTTGCAAAAAGACTCTTGGAACAGGCGCTGGGAGTCTGATTCACGTTCTTTGGTAATTGTGCTTCCAGTAGCATTCTAGTTCAGAACTTGCATCACAGTTTAGTAATATCTTTTTCTCATTTCTTTCGACTGAGCTAGTTTAGTTATAACTTGTTCTTTTTGCAGGGAAGAGGTTGGTCTAGATGCTGCAAGCAAGTTCCTAGGTTATACACAGTGGCTTGTGAACTACTGGCTTCTTCAAAATGGTTTTAGTATTGGAATTGGGGATATGATTGCAGATGCGGCCACCATGGAAAACATTAATTATACCAATTGTACAACTAAGGATGGTGTGAAGGAGCTTATTAAACAAGCACGTGACAAGCAATTCGAAGCTACGCCAGGACGCACCATGATGGAATCATTTGAAAATAAAGTAAATGAGGTAATTGTTTGCGTCTTTGATATGGATCACCTTTTATTTTATAGGTCTTTCAATCAAACAAGAACACTATCACTCTCAGTTGAGTTGTTTAACATCAGTCCATTCTCTTTTTATTCCAGATTCTCAAAACGGCTCGTGATGATGCTGGAAGCAGTGCGCAGAAGAGCTTGTCTCAAAGCAACAATTTGAAGGCTATGGTCACCGCAGGCTCAAAAGGCACTTTCATTAACATTTCGCAAATGGCTGCTTGTGTCGGACAGCAAAATATTGAGGGCAAGCGGATCCCATTTGGTTTCACTGATCGAACATTGCCACATTTCATGAAAGATGACTATGGTCCTAAAAGTCATGGATTTGTGGAGAACTCTTACCTTCAGGGTCTGACACCGCAAGAATTTTTCTTTCATGCTATGGGTGGTAGAGAAGGACTGATTGATACGGCTGTGAAGACTTCTGAGACTGGGTATATCCAACAGAGACTTGTGAAAGCTATGGAGGACATCATGGTGAAGTATGATGGTACTGTAAGAAATTCCTTGGGAGATGTCATTCAATTCCTATATGGGGAAGATGGCATGGATGCTGTTTGGATTGAAGAACAGAATTTGGACTCTTTGAAGATGAAAAAGGACGAGTTTGATACTATATTCTGATATGAACTGGATGAGGAGAACTAGAGGCCTAACTACTTGCTGCCTGTTCATGTTGATGATTTGAAGACCATCAGTGGATTCAGAAATGTGTTAGAGGCGGAGGTTCATAAGCTAGAAGCTGACAGGTTCCAGCTTGGGACTGAGATTGCTACAAACGGTAATCATACATGGCCTATGCTTGTCAACCTCAAGCGGCTTATCTAGAATGTCCAGAAGACATTCAAGATTGACATCAGAACACGTTCTGACATGCACCCAATCGAAATTGTGGAAGCGATAGATAAGTTGCAAGAAAGACTGAAAGTTGTGTCTGGTGATGGTGCTATAAGCATTGAGGCTCAGAAAAATGCCATCTTGTTCTTTAATATCCATCTCCGTGCCACATTTGCTAGCAAGAGGGTCTTGAGGGAATACATGCTTACAAGGGAAGCATTTGAGTGGATTATCGATGAGATTGTATTGAGGTTTTCTCAGTCTTTGGTGGCCCCTAGTGAAATGATTGGATGTGTAGCCACACAGTCCATTGGGGAACCAGCAACTCAAATGACTATGAATATCTTCCATTTTGCTGGTGTAAGTGCCAAGAATGTTACTCTTGGAGTTCCCAGATTGAGAGAGATCATTAATGTTGCCAAGAAGATAAAAACCCCATCGTTGTCTGTTTACCTAAAGCCTGAGGTGAACAAGAAGAAAGAATTGGCTAAGAGTGTCCAATGTGCTTTAGAGTACACCACACTCCGCAGTGTGACTCATGCCACTGAGGTATGGTATGATCCTGATCTTATGGGAACCATCATTGAAGAGGATTTGGAATTTGTCCAGTCATATTATGAAATGCCCGATGAGGATATTGACCTGGATAAGATTTCTCCTTGGCTGCTGCGTATTGAGCTTAATCGTGAGATGATGGTTGATAAGAAGTTGAGCATGGCTGATATCACTGATAAGATCAACCATGAATTTGATGACGAATTATCATGCATATTCAGTGATGACAATGCAGATAAACTTATCCTTCACTTGCGCATCAGAAATGATGAAGCTTCAAGAGGAGAAATACAAGACGAGCCTGCTGAGGATGAAGTTTTCCACAAGAAGATAGAGAGTAACATGTTGATAGAGATGTCTCTTCAAGGCATTCTGGATATTAACAAGGTGTTTATAAAAGAGTGGAAGGTTAATAAATTTGATGTGAATGATGGTTTCAAAGAACATGAGGAGTGGATGCTTGATACAGAAGGTGTCAATCTCTTAGCTGTCATGTGTCATGAGGATGTTGATGCTACAAGAACAACAAGTAACCATTTGATTGAAGTGATTGAGGTTCTTGGAATTGAGGCTGTTCGTCGAGCTCTCTTGGATGAACTTCAGGCAGTCATATCTTTTGATGGATCTTATGTAAATTATAGGCATCTGGCCATTCTTTGTGATACAATGACATACAGAGGTCATCTGATGGCTATTACAAGGCATGGTATCAATCGCAATGACACAGGAGCTCTTATGAGATGTTCTTTTGAAGAAACTGTGGATATCTTGCTCGATGCTTCTGTACATGCCGAATCTAACTACCTGAGAGGTGTCACTGAGAACATTATGCTTGGTCAGCTTGCTCCTATTGGTACTGGAGACCGCGCACTATTTTTGAATGACCAAATGCTGTAGCAGGCCATTGAACTTCAACTCCTAAGCTATGTGGAAGGTCTGGATTTTGGCATGACACCAGCACCTTCATCTCTCTCTGGGTCGCCATATCATGAAGGATTGATGTCGCCGAGTCATCTCTTGAGTCCAGATTTCAGGGATTCCCCCATTGATGCATATGCTTCGTTCTCGCCATTTGTTAGGGATATGACATTGTCACCTGTCCCTTCACAAGGTGATTACTCTCAATCGTTAGGGGGATACAGTCCATCTCTGATTATCAGCTCGGAAAGGTACAGAGGTGTATCACCGATTTATACTCCATACACTCCTGCATCACCAATTAATGCTGCTACTTCAACATCATATAGTCCAGAAAGTCTGGTTTACTCACCCATAACTCCAGTTTACACACTCATGACTCCACTTTACTCCCCTACAAATCCAATTTCTTCACAGATTCAGTCATACTCGCCCACGTCTCCAATTTATAATCCTCTATCTCCTAACTATAGTCCCTGCTTCTCCAAGTTATAGTCCCACCTCCCCTGCATACAGCCCCATAGCACCATTGTATAGCCCAGCATCACCATCATATAGCCCAACATCACCATTCTATAGCCCTACGTCTCCATCATACAGCCCTGCATCACCTACCTACAGCCCTACATCGCCGGGTTACAGCCCTACATCGCCTAGTTACAGCCTGACCTCAACAATTTACAGCCCAACATCGCCGAACTACAGCCCAATGTCACCAAGCTACAATCCTTCATCTGCTGAGTACAATTCTTCCAACACTTGCTCTCCAACCGGACCAAGGATGACTCTAGACAGTCGGATTGTTTCAGATTACAGGTACTATAAACTGCAAACTTATGCTTGACAACTGACAGTGCCTGTGCTTCATTCGGCAACCCGTGTTCAAATATGTATATATATTGATTTCTTGTGTTACTGTTTTAAATTTCAGTCCAACTTCGCCGACTTACTCACCGACTTCACCATCATATCCATTACCAAGTCTGTCATACAACAAAACTAGGTGAGCCCCATTCAGGCTTCATCATTTGTATCGCACATCTTCAAATTTGTGTCCAAAAAAAGTGTTCCATTTCAGCCGTATGTCCCTTCCTCGAGTTTTGTGGATTTTCTAACGGATTGACTAACTTGTGTAGCCCAATTGACAACTCTGGAAGACCTAGCCTAGATTGTAGCCCAACGTCTCCAAATTTCAGGTAAGCTGACACGGCATCAGGAATACATCACCTGCCTGTCATCATAAAAGGCATCATTAATCACATATTTTTCATTTAACATTGTGCACAGCCCTAGCAGAAGTGACTCCCCCACTGCAGCTGACTACTCCAGATATTAGTTCTGATGCTACCAACTTTGAATATTAGTTCTTCTATTTTTCTGAATCAACATACCTTGTAGTGATCAAATAAGAAACCTGAAAAGAGAAGGTACTTCCATGTGTCTCTACTTGATCAATTTCATGGTTCTGCTTTTAGGTACTATTTTTTAGGTACTATAGAGGGACTATATTCTTAAACTTTTGTAATTTACTAAATCATCTTTGATCTAAGTAACTTGAGTTGGTGTGATAAATTATTATAACTCAAGTCTTCCCTTTTGCTTCCTTCTCTTGCTTGTGGCCAACTGAGAAACTGAAATTAGGGAGTATTGTTGCTTGCCTTGCTAAACATGTGGCATGTCCATTTTCTGCAAGGCAAATCAGTAAACATTGTGTTATGATACTTCAGTTTTTGCCTCCTCAAGAATCTAGAGTATTTTGTGCTGATAGTCTAATACTTAAATATGTCATGACTGCATTGCACTCTTTATCTATAGCAGTAGCATCTCCTAGTTAATTAGCTGTTTTCACTTTGTTGCTTCTATCTAGTCAACAACTGATATCTATTTGTTGTTGTTTGATACTTAAACACCATTTCCGCTGATGCGTGGTTTCTTTTTCTTGTGAGTACAGATGGGCCAACGACTGAATATGAGAGGTAGATGGCGCAAAACTTGGTGCTGAACAATTAGATGCTCCGCTCTCTTGGATTAGGACCGTTAACTTCAATTGTGAACAACACATTAACTCAGTAGTTGGGCAGTGCTAGGATAATGATTTTCTGTTCGACTCCAAATACCCGGGTCTATAAGTGTTGTTCAATAAATATGTTCTTTCTGCATATGTATTGTTCTGCATATGTGTTGTTCTGCGTATGTGCTACTCTGAATAAAAAGTGATGGGCAATTAGTTCATCATAAGTACAGAAATTTGGTTCAATAAATATGCCCTTTTCTAAGGAGGACATACCTGGTGCTGTGGTGACAAGCCTTCCCACTGAGCCAACGGTCATGGGTTCGATGCAGCCTCTCTGCAAAATGCAGGGGTAAGGCTTGCCTCGGTTATTCCTTTCCCAGACCCCACTCATGTGGGAGCCGCCACCACTGGGTCTGTCCTAAATATGTCCTTCTCTAAAAATACAGCACAGATCATATATCATTTTAAAAAGTAATTCAATTCAATCTTTCTACCCCCTCAGAATTTTGTAGTCTTGAATGATTTTTGTGATGATGATAATCTTTCTACCCAGCTCATTATGAGACTTCCTCTATGAGCTATCATGGTAAGTGCTTTTCTATTGCATCTGAGCTCATTCAAGAATTTTATCTTGAATTATTTGGTATTAGTTTTTCCTGCCAAGCTGTACTATTTTACCTGTCCATGTAGTTGTCTCGGTAAAAAGACATCTCTACTTATGCAATGATGATAAGATTTCTAATCCTGGCTCTATAAGACTTCCTTTGTGGGTTGTCTAGGATAAAAATCCTTTCTATCTGAGCATGGTTTTTGTTTTGTTTGCGATCTTTTTTAAAAAGGTTGTGTAGCAGCATATATTCTCTTGAATGGCTTTTGCAATGGTGATATTCTGTTTACCCAGCTTATTATGAGACTTCCCTCTGGAGGTTGTCATGGTAAGTTCTTCTGCTTTGTATCTGATCTCATTCAAGAATTTGTCTTGAGTGGCGTTTAGCATTATCTTTCTTATCAAGCTTACCTATCTATTAGTAATTTGTACAATAGGCATAGCCTGATTTGTTCTGCCTTAATTAAACTCTGGGTTATAAGTACATAAATGAAATGTAACAGCCGTGTGTTGTAATGTATCTGAATTTCAACTTGCCAAGTTGATTTTGATTAGTTATCTGTTGATGTCTATATTTAGGATCTGAAGAATAAGGAGAAAGAACTCTAGGCTATGGAGGCTAAGGGGCTAAGCTAAACAAAAGAGAAATGGTATGCTGCCTTACCACAGAGCTTTCAGTCTTTCTGCGCCTTCTCACCTTGCTTCACTGGATTAAAGTAGACCTTTTGATATCCAGTTCTGCACATGCATTGTAGTTCTCATGTCTAGTTCTTGGTTGATATTGCAGTTCTCACATTTAAAGTATACCTTTTCACTTGCGAGCTGAAAAACATTTTGGTTAAGTAAATGTTTATTGGTGTTGTGTGCCCATGAGCTGCAAAAAAGGATATTTCACTATTTTGGTTCTTAGGAAGTCTTTCTGTTGGTATATCAGTTGCCAAGTCTGAATTTTGTGTGATAGATATATAGCACTTGGGTTGAACTTTTCTTCATTTACTTTGCTGCAAGTTTCATACAATTATTATGATATAATGTTCTAGAGAAACATACATAGTAGGCCTGTTCCGCTGCCTTCTTCTTGCAGCTGCAGCTGCTGGTTTCCTTCATACAGGAACATTAGATACAGGAGTGGTTGCTGCATTGTTTCAAAAAAAAAGGAGTGGTTGCTGCAGCAATCACTTCCGTGGGAGGGTATATAGAGGAATGGAAATTTTTTAGCGCTTTGCTAGTGTGAAGTTTGACATAAACAATAGGTAAAACATTGCATTTGATCTTTCCTCAACAAAAGTTGTTTTTCTTGACATGTTTGTTTTTGTTTCTGTATAATTAAATGGGAACTATGGAAATTAATTTCTTACCAAAGAAGATATGTAATTCTGTATTCTTGGTGTTTGGCAGGAGTTCACAGGATTGCAAGGAAATTGGAAACCAGGATTCTTGCTCCCTAATAAACTTTAGCTAATTTGCAGCCTGTGGCTGAAGGACTGTTCAATATATGGATATATGGTTGCAATATTCCGTTTCTTTCTGCTTTTGTACAGCTGAGCGCATGATTTAGACGAATGGCCGAAATCTACATGAAGGTGCTGGTTCCGAACTCTTGCAGCAAATGTAAATGATCAAACGGTGTCTTGCAGGAACTCCAAATTTTAATGACTACTAGGTAGCGTGCCCGTGCGTTGCTACGGGACAACTAAATCTTTTGTACTAAAAACACACGGATCGCACGATAAGATATCAATACTGTTAAATTAAATACCGACGTTAAAGTGACATTTAATTCAAAAAAACAAAGTTCGTGAAATTAACACAGTCACGGAGAGCGTGGTGTCGTAGTCTCACAAACTCTAATATATAGAATTTTTCGTGATATGGCTAAGATAATATTTTATATCGGCAGAAAAAATTCTCTGATGTTCATTTCTTTCATGCGTCAATAAATTCATGAATACGTTCATCTGCATCTCCATATAATCCTGTACACACAGGTTCGAGTATATATGTAAATATTAGTGCCTGTCACATGGATAATACTACGTGTCTTAAAAATCTCAAATAAAATTTTAAAACAAAGTATGTTATACTCATCGTATAAATATATATGGCTTTAGGATTATTCCACACAGACATATATTGTAGAATAAGGTATCCACTTGAGTGTCTATTTCAAGATGTTGAATTAGGTGTTGTAATTCTTAATTTCGACACATTTTTCAGGTCAAGGCAATTAATGGTGACATTTTTCTTAGTGGTGCATAATTTTATGGTGCACCTCTTGACTATCTGAGTAAAGACAAGTTAGCACTGCAAAGGCTCAGAAAAGTTGCTGAGAAGGCCAATGTTGAGTTTTCTTCTAGT